ATACTTTTCCTACGCACTAATTCCTTAGTTGCACAGAAAAATTATCAAGCAATAGTTCTGACATAAGAAACACGTTGTTACGGGATATCCCCATTCCTAGGCAATATCAACCGTAATATTATTTTGCAAAAGCATTAGGTTGACTTTCCAGACTGAAACCTAATCGTTACTCAAATTCTATTTTCCAATACGAATTCGCATTAATATCGTTGCAAAACAAAAGATATAAGGCGAAAAACGTAAATCTCATAGAATAATCCCAACAAAGGTCAATACATTGCAATTTAGGACCACCCCATAACAAATGGGGGTTTAGCCACTCATGTTCTCAATAAAAACAAATACACTTAAAAATAAAAGAGAGAAAGTCATTACAATAGGAATTGGTCTCCTTGGATCATCAATTGCTTCTGCTTTTGATCGATCATTCTTCTCCAGAAATATCCTTCTTCCGTGTAAAAACTCGATCCCAAAATTCCACAAAAAAAAAGTCTTAGCCAAAAAGCGACTAATGTATCCAAATTCAAATTACATCACGAAATGCCTAAAATGCCCTTCGAGACAGCTCAACCAACATAAAAACAGGAAAAAAAAAACAAATTCACTATCAGTGGCCCTGACACGGGCCGTGTCATGGGACACGGGTGGCCGTGTCAGGCTGCTGCTCAATGGGGCATGTTCTTCTTTCTTCAGGGGCTGCAACACGGGCACCCGTGTTGCACTTCTGTTCTCCCATTTTCCTCTTCTAATCTTGGTCGCGTCCCTCCATAATGACCCTCCTGACATGGGCCGTGTCAGGCGACACGGGCACCCGTGTCAGGCCTCTGATTTCCACTTCTTCAGTGGTCTTTGTCCCCGAAACGATACAGATATTGGATCATCACTTCCTGCTGAAAACACACTAAAAAACAACCAAATCACACGCACCAGTGACATAAAATGATGCAGACCTCAAAATAAGACTTTCTCAAAGACGATTGAAAATAATGATTAAAACATGAAGAAAAGACTCGAAAATGGACGAAATATAGAAAAACAAACGACATATCCAGTTTGAAATACACAATTAAAACCCACTGATCAGACCCCTTCTAAACCAAATTGTCCTTTTTCATACCTTTCAAGAACTCTTTTAAGTTGGACAATTTGAAATGAAAGTGACTCACAATTTTTGCATACAAAGTTTTGTTTCTCTTCACTAACAATTTTTTCTTTTTCATTCTTTTCATCTTTTTCATTCTTTTCCATGATATTTACTTTTTCTTCTAAAGATGATATTTGTTTCTTTTGTGAAGATATGATTTTACACAAAACTTTGCATTCATTTAATAGTTTGTTTATAGCCTCTTGAGTATCGTTATCATAAATTCAAAAAGAAGTACTAACCTCATCATCTTTGTCGTCGTAGTGATGAGAAGCCATCAATGCCAAGTTTGCACTTTCGTCGCTTTCGGATTCGGATGATGAACTAATGTCATTGTCCTCCCATGTAACATAAGCCTTTTTTTCCTTTGTCTCCTTTTTGCCTTTGAATCCATTCTTCTTTGAAAGTTTTGGACAATCCGGTTTAATGCGACCTTTCTTCCCACATTCATAGCATGTAACATCTTGATTTGATGTGGAAGTATCCCTTTTCTTGAAGTGTTTCTTCCTTTTTGCGTAGTTGACAGGTTTGTCACTTTTGTTGAAGAATTTTCCAAGTCTCTTAACTAGTAACATAAAATTTTCATCTTCTTCTGAAGCATCATCGTCTTGTCCTTATTTTGAATATACTTTTAGAGCAATACCTTTAGATTTTTTTCCCTGATGTTCATGCTTCTCAAGACGACCAAGTTCTAATTCGTGCTCTTGAAGTTTTCCAAAAAGTGATGCGGAAGTCATTGTTGAGAGACTCTTCTTCTCCGATATTTCCGTAACTTTGGGTTGCCAATATCTTGTTAAATATCTTAACACTTTTAGATTTAATTCATCATTGGAGAATGTTTTTCCTAAAGCAATCAAATGGTTAGTCAGATGAACAAATCTTTTCTGAAGAGCAACAATAGATTCTCCAGGAAGCATACGAAACATCTCATATTCTTGACTTAGTGTGTTCAACCTTGATCTTTTAACCTCAGTGGTTCCTTCGCGAGTCTCCACCAAAGTATCCCAGATTTCCTTAGCCGATTTGCATTGTGAAATTCGGAAGAACTCATCCATGCTTAAAACACTTTGCAAAATATTGATAGCCTTTTTCTCATTTAAAACATTCTTTTAATCATCATCATCCCATGCACTAATAATTTTTGGAGTACCGACACCATTTTCAACACTAATTGGTACATGAGGGCCAATTTCAACAGTTTTCCATATGCATTCTCCTTGTGCCTCTAAATTTGATTTCATGCGAATTTTCCAGAAGTCAAAATATTCACTGGAGAACAAAGGAGATTTATTACTGTTGCCACCATCTTTGAATACCAGATTTGCGCTAGTGGAAGCCATCTAGATCTTTCTAGGAACAAGTTACTTATAACCTTCTCTGATGCCAATTGTAATAGTGGAATGCACCTAAGAGAGGGGGGGGGGGGGGGGGGGCGTGAATTAGGTACTTAAAAATTTCTCCTGTTTTGTGGTAGAATTCTTGTTTTACTTTCCTAATAGATTCTAAGGGAGGAATGCGGTAAATTGCGGAAAGTAAAAGTGACACGACGAAATATCCTGATTCCCCTCACAGTCCGAGAGTACTCCAGTCCCCTTTCAACACGAAAGAGTTTTTTAATAATTGTTAGATCCTAGACAAGTCTTTCTACATAGACTTTAAACAATCAAACCACCAAGAACACACTCTGGGATTTTTCCAACTAAGTCCAATGAGGATAATCCTCTCAATGTGGACCTCTTGCTTCCAACAATCCTGGACAATAAGGTAGCAATCCTTACAATCTTAATTCCAACAATCCTGGAACACTTAAGAATGTAATAAAAAAAATACTTGAATAATTTGTTTGAACAGTGTTGAAAATGTCTTCAAAATTATCAATCTTTCGATTGATCTTCCTCTTGATATTCCACCTCTATATAACTTATCAAGCGTTCAAATATAAGAGAATGAAACTTAGATGAATTTCTGAAAATTTGAGAATACAAGTTTCACTCAATGAAAAATTCAGAATTTTGACACTTGAAAAATATGAAAAATAAGAGATGAAAATATTTGAAAATTTTATGCAAGAAGGTGATTTTAAAAAACTGAGTTTAGAGGTATATATAGGCCTCTAAACACCCTTTCAGAATGACTAAAATCATCAAAAGATGTCATGTTTCAAGAAGAAGAAGAAAACATTTTTCAAACCAAGAGATGCAACTTTCTGGCCTGCAGCGCAAGTGGCAATCGATTACCATAAGTGGGTAATCGGTTACCTGCCTCCAACGTAACCAAAAATTGAAAATCTGCAGCAAGTAATCAGTTACCAGGATAGGGTAATTGGTTACTCAGTGTTATTTTCTAGAAACCAGTTTTCCCAAAATTGAGGCAAAGTGCATAGTTTTATTTTAAAAAGTTTTTTATGCAATGCAAGAAGGAGATGAAGTTTTGAACACTTGAGTAAGGTATATAAATACTTAAATTGTTGTACCTCCATTTTGTCGAACTTTATCTTCTTTCTTGATCAAACTTTGACATATTGAATTGAAAGTGGGTTGCTTGAGCTTGATATAATCTTGAAGTCTTGAAAACCATTCTTGCATGTTGTGGATTATGTCGTCATCAAAATCAGTTGAGAACCTTGTCTTTACAAAGACCACTGCTTCTATTCATCTTGATACATAGTCCACTGCCACTAGAATATAGTTCTTTCCAAATGATAGTGGAAACGGACCCATAAAGTCTATCCCCCAAACATCAAACAACTCAACCTCTAGCATGACATTCAGAGGCATCTGATTCCTTTTTAAAATATTGTCTGTTCTCTGACATCTGTCACACTCCTTGACTATGTCCTGGACATCCTTGAACAAGGTGCGCCAATATAATCCCGATTGGAGGACTTTTGTCGCGGTTCTATCACCACTAAAGTGTACTCCATAGTCTGAATCATGGCAAGCTTTCATAACGTCCTTATTTTCATCCTCCGGAACACACCTTCTCACCAATTCGTCTATTCCTCGTTTGTACAAGAATGGGTCATCCCACAAGTAGAACTTGCAATCATGCAAATTTTTTTTCATGTTAGAATCAAAATCATCTGGCATTACCCCACCTACCAAATAATTCGCGTAATCTACGAACCAAGGGACACCAATAACAGCGAGGATGTGTTCATCAGCAAACTCATCCTTTATTGGTCTCTTGTCCTCTGTTTCTTCAATAATAGACATACGAGATAAGTGATCCGCTACGGTGTTTTCACACCCTTGTTTATCCCAAATCTCCAAGTCAAATTCCTGTAGCAGCAAAATCCATCTCAGAAGCCTCAGCTTAAAATCCTATTTAGACAATAAATACTTCAAAGCAGCATAGTCAGTATAAACAACTACTTTGGATCCTAACAAATATTGCCGAAACTTATCAAAAGCATAAACCACTGCTAACAACTCATTTTTGGTAGTTACGTAATTCATCTGAGCAGGGTTCAACACATGACTAGCGTAGTAGATTACATGTAAAAGCTTTTCTCTTCGCTGTCCTAATACTGCTCCCACTGCAATATCACTAGCATCACACATGATCTCAAAAGGAAGAGACCAATCGAGGGCAATCACAATTGATGCCGACACTAATCTTTATTTCAATATCTCAAACGCATCGACACACTCTTTATAAAAAATAAAAGCCTTGTATTTAACTAAAAGAATCGTTAAAGGTTTGGCTATCTTAGAGAAATGTATTATTGTTTTTATATTTAATTAAAAATATCACATGAACAATTTCTAGAAACACTACAAAGAAACCGTAAAGTAAAGTTGAAAGCTTCGGAGTGTAGTGTTTGTGTTATTCCGGCGCCGGCATTACTGTGAAAATGCAAGCTCTAGTGAGGCACAAGCTTAGGCTCTTCAATTCCAATTTCAATTCTCTCTTTAGACTTTCATCATCATCCTATTTACATTCTTCTTCCGCTCCGCTAAACTCACCAGCATCTTCTTCCACCGCCACCAACTCGTTCATCGCTCCATGGTCCATCATTCAACGACGGGGAAACAGAGTCTTCGCTTCTGATGTACGCATCTTGTAACTTCTACCGTTTTAACTCCTGATCGATTCTTACAGATTTTTCACTGTTTTGTTTTTGTTGCGTTGCAGATTAGAGTCGGAAATACCATTGGAAAACAAGGGCGAATATACGAGGTAAAGACTAATTTCTTGAATGATTTGTTGTTAATTGCTATTCATTCAATTCAATATTGTTATCCAATGCTGTTTTTTTGAATTGTTAACTCATTCAGGTTCTTAAAGTTGATCACTCTCAAGAAGGAAGAGGAAAAGCCACAATCAAGGTTTTTCTTTTTTTGCACTGTATTCAAAATTTTACATGTTCCGTTTCATTATTTATCAGCTGATAAATGTTATTTAATTTTTCTTCTATTATCATTAGTGTTTGAAAGGGAATGTTGTGATGTGTGCATAGATGTGCATTGTCTTTTATATAGAATTGGCTTAGTACACATGCACACACTGACACATCTTGTTTTTGTTGTTATAAGTCCTCGACGACTAGCAAGTTATTGTTAATATTGAAACCATATTTCTAACCATAAATATTTCTTTTAATTTTGTGTAGATTTGATGGCTTGATCCAAATGTTAAGAGATATATATGTGAAATTGTTTGCTAATAACACATAGTTGATAGGAAAACAGTTTTTCATGAAGCAGTCTTATCAAATGTCTAGGATCAACCAATAGCCGATGGATTAACAATTTTTCATACCTTTTACATAGATGTTAATACAGGATCTTAAAGGGTCATATTGCTTGATTTGATAAGTAATAATTTTTTAAGAGTGTCGATTTAGATTTTATTACAACCTACTAGTCTTGTTTTGTTGTGTTTAAAATGATTTTATCCAAAAAGAAACCCTAGTTAAATGGATTTGTGATATTTGGACAGTGGCGTTTGTCGATCCATTTTAATCTGCTAACTGTGGAACGTCCGTTGATTAAAAGAAATCCCATTTTGCTTATTCAACTGTCTATTCTTATTTGTGCTATTGATATTGGATATAGTTGTGTATTGTAACTTCTTGACTCTTACTTTTAACTCCATTCATATAATAGCTGACAAACAATTGTAGCTGTTTCTGATAATAGGTGGAACTTCGTGACGTTCTCCAGGGAACCAAGGTTACCCAAAGACTGGGCACTAATGAGGATTTTGAAAGTATGTCCCTGTATATGTAGTATTTTATATGCAAATTTATGAGCAATGTAACCATTACATAATTTGTTTATCCCTGTCAATATTTTTCATTTAGTTGCTAATGATGCGGTAGGATTCTTTAATTTGTTTGTATTGATTGACTCACTACTCCAAAGAAAATGAAAATCAGAAGGACATATTATCGGGTCACTAAGAGTAATTAGTTAGAATAGTTATGCAGTGAAGTGGTTGGGCAGTTAAGACTGTCAGGTTTAGAAAAATATATTATATAACAGGAGAGGGGTGGAAGAGAGAATGGTAGATTTGCTAGTTTGTTAAACAGAGTAAGGGATTGGTTGTAAAATGGAGAACCTTTTTCTGAGTGGGAACTTGGGAAGCCCTTTTGAAAGTATTTTCGCCTTCATTCTTTATTTGTGATTCAGTCACTCCATATAAAAGTGTTTTTTTCCTTGTCTGTTTTGCTTGGTATGTTCAAATCTTTCACAACAGATATTTTGTACTTTATTTTAGGGTTTGTAACAGTGTGTCCAAATGAATTCGCAAGAAGGCTATACAGTTATACACATTGTTCAATTACATCTTTTAATTTGAATTATAAGATTTGGGACAATTTTTGTCTTTCTGATTAATGATGTGCTAGGACATTTCACACCGGCTGATAGTTGACCAGTATTCTTTTCTGCGCTTACAAATTTTCATTTTGATGCAGAGGCCTATGTTCAGGAAAAGACTTTCATGTACATGTGCACGGATCAAGATGGAACTGTAGTATTAATGGAGTGAGTTCCTACATCTTTTATCCTGTTTTGCTGTCCGTATATCATTCTATGCTGTTGGGTGCAAGAAACTCCTTGGGAGCATTGTTATATAATGCAGTTTCTCCATTTAATTTTGGTCAGCAATGACACGTTGGATCAAATCGAAGTTTCCAAAGACTTGTTTGGCAAGAATTCTTTATATATAAAAGGTGGATTAACTTTTACCATCAATCACTGTTCTCTTACTATCAGTTATTATTATATGGTAAACTTAGATGTTTTCAACTGCACTTAATAGTTATACTCAGCATCATTGTCTCAATATACTACTAGTGCACTGCCGATCATTTTCTGGTTTTGTCATCAGTTCTGATATTGTTATCGCTATGTGTTAATGTGAATTCCCCATATAATCAATGTCATGACTGGTGCCTGAGTGTTTCCCTGAATTTGCTTTCCTACTTAACCTTTCTCATTTGTGATTTAACCCAGCTGATTTAGTGCTCAGTGATGTAGTATCTCCTTATAACTTCTTAAGTCTTAAGTATCTCCCCTGTGGGTTTTTTTGTCTGATGCATTATAGCTTCTCAAGTTTGAAGTATCTTCTCCATGGGTTTCTTTATCCGATGCATCCATGACTGGTGATTCGTAACATTTCAAAGTTAGTTCTCGTTAGTGAAGTACTGTAATTGATCAGCAGAATTAATTTTCTTCTTATTTCCGCTCTTTGTTCTTCTCCGCAGTATGTATTTGATGTCATTCTGCATTTATAGCTTCACTCTGTCATTCTACATTTATGGGTTAAGTTTTTTCCATGCTTTTTTTGTGTCTTCAAGGCTTCTCCTCCAAGATTGTCAAACTCGCGAGTCTACATAGACTCGTGAAGGGTCCACAGACTCGACTCATAGACTCAATTCGCAGACTCGAAAGAGTCTAAAATATAAAAAATGACTTCAAAAAAAACCCGTGAATGAATTTTATGCATAATAGAGCATCAATTAGCATCAAAATTCTAATTTCAAACTCTAAAAATGTTGTTACCCAAAAAACTCCATAATAAATCAAGAAAAGTAGCAGAGTGCAACAAGCTATAACAAAACTAAGGAAATAAATACATATTTAGTAAAAAGACAAACTACAGTAAAAAAAACATTTTTATTTTGGAGAAAATAGATAAAAAACACTAAAGCAGAACACTCTGGAGACAATAATATGGAGAAGTTTGACTAACAAGCTATAAGCACTCACTACACATTGAACATATCAACATAATGTAAGATCTGCGCCAAAACAACACAACACAATACAAAGAATAACACACATAACGAAATTGAAAAACAAACTAGAGGAACAAACTCGAGACTGTGAGAGACATTCGAGTGCGAATGCGAGACAACAAGAAATTGCAGTACGAATCAGAGACAATAAAAACTATGCCATGCAAACGCGGGAGGGGGAGAAAGGTCTGTTGTTCTTATGAGATTTCTAACTTCTAAAATAAAAAGGAAGCGATGAGAGAAGTCTTACAATTTCCTTTTTGGTTTTTATTAGGTGAAACAGTGAATCCCAACGTGTTTTGGGCCTTTTTTTTCTCCAAAATTACATCAAACTCGTAAACTCGCCTCAGACTCGGAGTCTATCCGAGTCTGATTGAGTTTGAGCGGTCTACCATGAAAACGAGCCTGAGTGCAAGTCAACTCGCTTTTTTATTCTCACAGAATGTTATGTTTTGATTTTGATGGACCTTGCCTACCTTCTCACTGTACTTTCTCCTATTTTCATAAATTTCTTTGCTAGGAAATTATTTTACCCTTTGATAGTCATCGAGTAGCAAACTTTAGTTTCATGGATATAATAAGTATTATAAATATTACTAAGTCATTATTATATTATTGCCTGGTTGACAGATGAAATGAAAGTTAAGGTACAGTTTTATGACGACAAACCTATATCTGCATCAGTTCCAAAACGCGTAATATGTACTGTCAAGGAAGTGATTGCAGCCACTCCAAGGTACTTATTTTTTTTTTCTTTCCATTATTGGATTTAGAAAAAGTACTTGATCTTGTACCTTCGCATTTTTTTCCTTCTCTTGTTGTAAAAGTTTTTGAATATTTTTTTGATGAAATATGTGTCTTAAGTTATAAATCACTCTCTTATTAGTTCAAAATTTTCACCTATTTTTGTGGGCGTATGTATGCTCTCCTTAGGTGGTAGCATAATAAAAGTTTCCCATACTTGGTGCATGAGACCAAATATGTTTCCCAAACTTAAGGCATTACCGAGAATGTAACATAGTTTGCGAATGCTAGTTGAAAGTATCATTATCACCTTCATAGGTAGGACTTTTCTCTGGAATGAAAAATTATAGGCTGTAAAGCTACTAATTTACCCACATTTGTTAGCAAACTTATAAACAGAGCATTCATCACTTAAAAGACAATTAGAAGTTAATTATATTTATTGGCAACATGTCACTTTAATCAAACATTAGAATAAAACGTTGTAAGGAATATAAAATGAAAATCCAACGAAAGTTGATGGTAGCCAATATGTCATAAACTTTCTCTGAATCCCTTTGCAAGGAGTGAAATATTCCCTGCAGCACCAAACACCACCTTAATGAGGCTAGTTTAGCTTCCACTGACAACTTTTGATGGCCAAGGAATAATATGAATTTGTGACAATTTTATTTTATTTTATTTTCAATTTTCACTTCCTGTCAAGACTTAGTACAGTCAGGAAAGTTGGTTTGAATTAGGATAAGAACCAAACTATCCAATAGTTGAGATTAGGAGAAAATCCAAATCATTTGATTTAGCTCTGAATCATGTTATTTTTCCGTAGTTGTAGTAGAGTGGTTGTTTTGGCCATCTGAGTATTAATTAGATAATAATTATGTCTATCCAAATTACTTATAAAAAAATATTATTTACATATATATTAGAACTGCTTAACCAACTCCACCTTCAAATCTTAGCATCTATGTTTCTTAAAAGAATAGACTATATATTCTCTTCTCTATAGTTATGTTTTCCTTAAACAATTAGGGTTAAGAGTCTAGTTTAAGTATAACTTGGGGTTAAGACCGTTAGTGTTTTATCTACTATATCAATATAGTATTCAGTCTTTTTTTTCCCCTCTTTTTTCATTTTTCTGCCAATTCCTATAAATTCAGTGATCTTCATTGATTATTTGTGTTTGGGAATCAGTGTCCTATGTCAAGAAACATTCTTTTCCTTTGGTTTCTTAGCCTTGATCCTGACTAAAATTAAAGCTTGTGGCTGTCCTACATCCATCATTATGTAATATGTCATTCACATTATCATATGTTGTATTATGGTTCACAATGTCAACTGCAGCTGCAGTCTTCATCAAGTTTGAAAACAGAATTGAAGGGGGAAGAGTCTTTTTTGTTGTCACTGTCACTGCAAATCTCTACTGTGTAGGAGATGAAAATCCTGAAATCAAGAGAAGAGAACAGACTGAGGAAGAAAGTTATTTACCCACGTTTGTCTGGTTGGAATTTCTCATCCGAGATTTGAGACAAACTCTAAAACATTAAAGAAAACCTAGTATGTGGAAGGGCGTGTAATTTCCCAATCTCTTTGATTGGACTGTTTGTTGGTAATGGTAAAAGTAACTCTGTTTAAACATCCATGAGCAAGCGATTGAATATTGTTAGAATTATGTAAACCTGTACATATATTCTAGATTGGTTCTTACTATTCCTAGAATATACAACTTTAGTGTTTATTCATTAGGCATCCAATGTATTTGCTGTAACAGCACTACAAATACAACAAGTAATGTGATCTGAATATAGACACAGAATTTACAGAGCTACATGATATCAAAGCAATTTTTCGTATCCTAAAGTAAATTTAAGAGCAAGTTTCCAACTGTTGTAGAGCTTGACTTGAGTTGTACGTAACACATTTCATGGGATAGAGCAGTGCTTGAGACACACATCTTTGAATCTGTCTCTAGTCATTAGTGTTTGACTTACTAAGTAATGCTGTCCAAATGATTAGATTAGAGAGTAGTCCCTAAATTGTTTGCTTTGGTACCCCATATAACTAATTATAATTTTTTTGAACTCATAATTATTTATATATTAAACTTTAAAGTCTCACACTCGTGATAGTTCTTGGCATGTGTAGCTCTCAATTCGAAGGAGGGTGCTGGTTATTTTTTAATGTGTCTGATTAGTTTTCTGTTTCTGCATCAATAAAATTTTGCTTACTATCAATTTGAATCTGACATTATTATACATAGCAATGATGAAGTCAATTTCTGAGATGGGGCATTTCAGCTTATCTATAATTTTCATTCAATTTAATTTTGTACTGACTTTTCCCCTCCTTGATTTAAGGAATAAAAAGGTGATACTGGACAATGGCCCTACAATTGAAGTAAGTCAAATATTATTTCTTTTTTCCTTCTGCGTTTATTTAGTAGCATAAGTAATTGGTAAAAAAATTACTCAAATGTGCAACTTACTGTGGAAATTTAATTATTATTTCATGCAAAAGTTACGACTGATATTTATTTGAGACTTTTTTCTATCCAAAAGTCAGCCTGTGTTTGTGTACAAATTTCTTTCATGATAATTTGACGCCTCTTAAAACTGAGATGAATAATTTGAAGAGCTTAGTATGAAAAGTTATATAAATCCAATTCCTGAAAAGTTATATAAATACTTATGTTTGGATTGATGGAATGGGACGGAATGAAGCAGATTGGAATTGAATAATGTTATGTTCCGTTGTTTGGATTGGTAAAAAGAGGACGGAATGGATCATATTCCATCCAATCCTTCCATTTTTATTTTATCCGATTTGGGGTGTATGCAATGGAATGAACTAATTTGTTCTGTTCCGTTCTGTCAAATTATAAAAAAGTACACAAACAATGGAATGAAATCTATGTTCTGTTCCATTCGCTCCACTCCATTCCATCATGTTTCATTCTGCTATGCTCCATTCTATTCCATTAATCCAAAGATAGCTACTGTTTACATAATTAAAATGCAGTTAGTACCAAGGATTTCAAGAGCCTTGGCCTCTCCCCTTTCCAAATGTTCAAGAGATGGGTCTCTCCCTCCCGTCAACCACTTAATAATTTCAAGATAAAACCCTCCCTGTTATTGTTACACACCACCCAGAACTGAATAGACATAAATAATTACATAAAGTAACACCCCATAATCAGGAGACACTATCCTATAAAGTAACTGCCTCATAACTAGCAGTAATTTTACTAAAACTGATATAATTAGTTTTTCCCTTTCATCTTATGCACATTTAGTAAGAGGTCTAACAATACCTAACAAAATTTTAGTGAAATATGTTTAGTGTAAGAGGTCTATAATAATTTTCTTTCAAACATATATCTTGTATCCACTATGTAATTGTGGCAAAGTTCTAAAATTGTGCCAATCAATTGGACCATTATTATTAAAACCCAAGCAATTAATGGCTTAATGCATTCTACTATTACTACTACTAGTTACCTATCCATCTGACCCAAAGCCCAAAAAGTTCCCTGCCAAAAAGTTCCCTGCCTAGACTTCAACGACAACCTTATGCTGACCAAATAGTTGCCAGAGCGGCAGTGGCTGAAAAAATGATAGATAGTACCATAGAAAGCTTTTCACACTATTGTAAGGAGAACACAACATTGGATATAAGTGAAAAAACATTCATGAGATGGCAGTGAGTCCACCTGATAGGCACGTACTATGGTTGGCTCATGTGACTTTGATTGATGTCATGTAAAGCGAAGAGAAAAATGAGAGATATCGATCGAAATCCATGCGTCTGAACTCTGAGCTATATAGAGCACTAGCAGGCTCTATTATGTACACAATGAAATAATTATATAAAACTGGAAATATCATAATCACTGTACTTACGAGATATTAGTAAAGCATGTTTACAATATTCACACGTGTTTCAACAAAATCAATATGACTTATGAATTAATTATTTTCAAAATGATATGGCAATAAATTCTTTCCATTTGAATTGAATTGGAATTGATTCAATATCTGTTGCTGGTAATGCCAAGTGCTTATGTCTTCGTATGTCCATATGATCAACATATAGGTTCCGCCTCACATTGTAGCTGGTGATGCCATTCTTGTAAATACTGAGGACGACTGTTACATTGAAAGGTTAGTTGGTCTACAAAAAGTCTAAGCATTTGATGATAAAATTTATGACACTTTCTACTTTTTTAAGCATCTGACACTTGTATTTATGAGATTTAATTGCGCCCTTTTTAAGGGGGATATTTGTCACCCTCATCTTCTGTACTCCATTTTTTGTGGTTCTCTTAAAAAGACAAAAGCTATCCTGTATATTGACTTTGAAATTCTTTGGGTAGCTAGATTTTTTTAAACCGTTATCTAACATGGAATCTGTATTGTCATTTTTAGTTAAGCTTCGAAAGCAAAATTTTAACTGTAGCACTATCAGTCATTTGTTTTTTGGCGCTCTGTAACATAACATCCTTATCAGTCATCATCCACATTATAAAGCATAAACCAAATCCTATAGGCTCGTTTTCACTGGAAAACCGCTGTAAATTTTCTTTTCATGTTATGCAAATGGAAAATGAATGGAAAACTTAACTATTGGAAATGAAAAATACCTGCAAGGTTGCTGGAAAAAAATAATACTCGCTACTGTATCAAATTCCCTGTTTTAACATGATTTCCTTATTGCTTTCTCATTTTGGTTCTGTATGTTGGGGGCACGGGCAAGGAATTGATCCCCGTGATCTCTGTTACTGTAGGCTCTGGTGGCTATTTTGTGGGTTTACTATTTTTATTTATCAAAATGTATCAAATATATCATTTTATGCATTTTCATGTTAATAGTATATAGTTGCCAGTAAAGCTGTTTTTAACTTTATCTCTTCATTTTCAGGGCAAAGGCATAAGGTGTGTTCAGCCATAATTTGAGCAGATTGCGTGACAGGCATCCATTTTATAATTCTCATAAATTTTGAATTAGATGTGACCTAATACTATCCTTTCCCCCCTCCCTATTTTCTGGGCAATAAGCTTTTTCTCTATAGTTGATGATTTTAATGTATCCGTGGGCAATGAGTTTAGATGTGTTTGTGATATTCGAATTTTGTTCTGTATCTTGGTTCAGTTTATGTACGGTATAGAGAAGCATTGGAAAATTACATCAACTCTTGAAAGTTTCAGATAACAGTCGAGTCTATTCATAGGAGAGATCAGGGCACGAACTTTGATTCTTAACTGCAAGAGATGTTTTAAATTCTTCTAAACAACTGTGGGTGAGAACATCCCATCTATTTTCGTCCGTCATTGTCATCGGTTAAGTTGGTTTTCGGTTACTCTTAGCCACCTAACGCATTTTCTTTTATGTCTCATATTTTCGGAGACACATCTACGAAAAAAGTTTCGCAGATGCATCTTCGAAATCTTATCAGAACAATTTAAAAAAAAAAAAATTTTTGTTGGTTGCATATGGAAATTAACTGTTGCAGATGAATATAAAATAATATACATCCGTAGATAAAATAATATGATATATATAAAATCACAGTCACTACTGTGTGTGCTTGACAACATCTCCATCCTTTCCTCTGTATGTAGATGCCTCTATCGCCTCCTCTGTCTCTATTGTCTTCTCGACTGTCTGGTCTGCATCCTCGGCCATCGATCCCACCTGTCCTTGCGCGATGTCTGCGGTATATAAGTGTCCCTTTTGCCACCGCAATCATCCCATCCAATATGCACCTGTGGTCAGACCCCCCAGGGAAGAAATTGAAATTGACGTCAATGCCTGTCCGTCCCATCTGCACTATCTGACGGCAACGAGGCAGGAAATCCTGAGTGTGGTTCAACTGAGACTACTGCTCTTCTAAAATCTCCTGATGAGCTGGTCTGGACGGTGATCCTTCTGCAGTGGGCACCATGTAGAGGTGTGAGATAGTGAAAAACCACATGATGTAGCCATCAACGCAACTCCAGTCACTCGGCGCTCTGATCGCCCAAGTCTCGTCCGGTTCCATGTGCCTCTGATAGTCAGCATAGATCTTCTATATCTGCATACGGGTCAAGCCAAGAGGAGCAAAGACACCTGGGTGTATGAGTATCGTCTACGTGTACCCGAACTGTTGCATGACGCGCTCGGGCAAATATGAAACAGTGACGGAGGAGGGTACCCCTGATCAGTATATGTAACAGACAAGAGATGTCGTCTAGTGTAATCGTGATCTCGCTGTGTAGTAGATAGAATAAGGACGTCTCAGAGTGCCATATCTCCGCAAAGCCCATCAGCATCCTGTTGTGGATCAGGCCATAACCAATCTCACAAAGCCCATTCAAACAAGAGGCGGCAAGGACTTCCTAGAACCAAGCCTCCTGTGGCTAATCAAAAGCTAATATCTTCCGCTCATGGTTATAGAACTTCTGCGGATGACGAGTCTAAATTTTTTCATAAATAAGAAACAATGTTAATAAGAAACAATGGTACAAATTATAAATTTACAATGAAAAGAAGAAGAAGAAACAATCCGAGTAATGTTACCTCTCCATCCCAAACATGTCTGGCAGTATGGTTAGTGTACTCTGTCAGCAAGGACATATCTGAGGAACCCCTGAGAAACCGTCAAACTCATCATCGTTGTCATCACCAGCATCCTCCGGTGGTGGGTCATCACCCTCTGGAGGTGGCACCAGATCAACATCATTGGCAGGAGGAGGAACAGGAAAATCCCGACGAGTCCTGCAGGAGGACGGGGCCTGTGATAAACTCTCAGTTAAATCTCGACGCCTCCGAGATGAAGAAGTGGATGATGGGGTGAGATACGAGGTCGAGGGAGTGTCTTGGGCATGTGATGAAAAGGTCGTGTAGTAAGCTGTGCCTCAACTATAGGCTCTACTGGAATAGTTGTATCGGCCTCGGTAACGGTCTGGCTCCGCTCGCGTCTGACAGATGCATGTTGTGAAATTCGTCCAAGTCACAATCTATTGTCTCTGTCTGCCATAATTTCTGTAAGGAATAACCAAGAAAAAACAATTAGATACAAATAAATTATAAAAGAAAAAAATTTAACATTTTTTTTACTTCTGGATATGTACACACGAGAAACTTTCGTAGATGTATCTACAGAAGTACCCAGAATTCACAACGTTTGATTTGTTCCGGAGCTGCATCTACGAAATTTCTCTAACGTTAATTTGTTCCGTAGATGTAACTCCGAAACTTTTTTCAACTCCAACAGTCACGACAATGACGTCTCCTACCCATGAAAATGAATTTTTTAAAGCCCTGATCGTCCGTTTCAGCCAACAAACAATACCTACACTGTCTCTAAATTATGTTTCTAAAATTATTTAAGGATTTCTACCCCTAAAACTATATTCTAACTCGTTTACGGGAAATACTAAAAAATACCTCGGAAACTTGAAAACTAACCGATTATATCGAGCTTTGAATGATTTGGAGTATTTTTATCGTTGAAATGAATGCTCCTTGTCAAACTCGATTGAAAAAAATTAAGTTTGGTGAAAAATAATTTCTTGAGGATTGAGAGAGTTTGGAGAGTTTGAGAGTGAAGAAGATGAAAAATGAAGAATGAGGGAGGAGAAAGGACTCTGGCACAGATGTATTCTAATATGTTTTGGAGCTATATAAACGAAAATATTTCGTAGATGTAGCTCTGGAAAAAACCAACGTTGAGTAAAAAAAGGTGCGTCCGGAGATACATCTCTGAAAGTAGGAGGTATTTTTGGAAGTGCACATGGTGCCTAAGAACCCCAAGGGGCGGGGTAAGAAATTCTCTAAATAAATACTCAAACTATCATTCGGTTTTGGATTTCCCTGGATTGAGTTACAGCATCCGGAACTGCCTAACAAGAACCAATTCAAACCGAGGTTGTACCCGTTGACTTGATACCCGATAAACACCTGCCCGGAAGCTGTAAATATTTAGTGGCTTGGTCGGTTTCGGTTCGAAATAGATTATTTGTCCAACCTTCTATTTATTTTCAATGATTTGGAAACTTTATCCTTTATCAACTTATTGACTTGTTTGGGGTTATCAAAGGACTAGATTATAGGCTTCTAACAAGTAAGCTCATAGTAGCTCGTTGTAGGATCAATGTACAGTAACCTAACCTATAACTAACTGCAACTAAAGGTCTAACACATTTTGATGTATAAGTTACAAGAGCTCTAACAAGTTGTAACTAACTGACTGACATATGTCAGTTAGTCCTAGGCATCACATGCTACACCGGGTCATCAAAGTATCTATAAATAGATCTCAATCAGTAAATCACTCATTCAATGAATAATATTCATATTCATTTCATAAATTTCAAAAGAATCATGACTAGTATTCAAGATTTTGAGGCACTCACCATTTTTCAACAATAAAACCATGATTGAAAATCAATTTTCATTTAACCTGAAAGCTATAAACTTATTGGGATGGAGAATTCAAACCATTTACCCGGTTCTTAAGCCAACATGGTGTTAGTTAACGTCTAATATGGCATCATACTCAATACTAAATTGGAGTAGTTGTGAGAAAACATAAATTGAAGGTGAGAAAAACATAAGAAAATGGAGTTTAAGTTGTGTTGACCAATTATTACTTTTTTTTTAAAGATTTAAACGAAGTTCAAGCCAATAAAAAAGACCGGAAGTTAAAGAGAATATAGAAGAAAGATTATCACATATACTCCATCCCAATTCATCTTATTAATTCGAGATTACTTAAATCCTCTTATACTTAGAGATTTTTACTATAGCTAAACTGATTACAAATATCACTAAGATGTATCACAGTCCAACTCCCATATGTTTTAGATTATTCAAACACATAACTGATTTTAACATGATATCTTTATTGTTTTAAAGAGTATACATAATACTTAGTCCTTTGAAAAATACAAATAAATAAATAAATAAATAAATGATAAAGTGTTTACAAATATAACAGATGTAAACTACTTTAGATATAAATACAAGTTGTTCTGAGTCGACCATATCGACCCCAGTCGACGACTCTGAGAGAATAGTAATCCTTCCAAAATATTCTTAGCATATGAGAATTTTCCTCCTGATGATAACAAATATCTCAATTGTATGTGCATTTAACGACTCATAACAATTTACTCATAAACTTATTGATTTTGTATTCCCTGTCTTTTATATATAGAAAAGGCGCCAAATTCTGCTAATACGTTTCAAACATAATTTCAATTTACTCTTCTTCCTCATATACTGACTTAAGCGTTGGAGTGCTAAACTTGCAACCCTATATCCTCCACGTCGGAACCTCAGATTCACCATCACTTTCGAACATTACTATATTTATGATTCCAGAACAAAACAATGGCGCTGTATGTGAGAATCAACTTCTGATCTATGTGTTCTCCATAACTCTATGTTCACTCTCTGATTTATCATTTCGTAACCTTCTAAGATCGCCGTATCAAGAGCTTTCAACATCGAACACAAAGATCCGTTGTAATTCGATCCAATCGAGCATCATCTCAATTTTGATTCCACGAATTTCTAGATCTATGATTCCTACAATTCCAAGTGATAGATGAATTCAAAGCTATTATCTCTACTACTGATCAAGAAGTTGTTGTCGCTGCTGCAACTCAACCATCGATCATTGAGTCGCCCACAAATAAAAAAGACAAGGCTTATAAATCAAGAAATCATCATAGAAGAAAGAAACAACAAAGTCATCCTCAAAGTCCCGAGGGAGACTGAGGTAGCAACACCCTTACTCCAGATCGAGTAAAAAATTGGACGGTGAAGGTTCAGACGAAACTTCCCTTGTGCACAAGGATTTCGGAAAGTAAAATACCAAAATCCATGGAGAATTTCCCCAAGTTAAATGAATACGATAGAAAGGGAGATCTAGATGAACATATGCAA